AAAATGGTAAATAATCTTGAGAAAGCTTTTATTAGTTGCACAAGTTCGAAAAGATGTCTGTTGCAGAATTGGTGCAGTAAATTTTTATAGGAAAAATGAAACGAGAAGATTATATATTTGTTCAATTCAGTTAATAGGTTGTTACTTAAATGATTACAATTATGGTACAATATCATCTGCAATAAATCTTTTTGCAACAGAAATGTTAAGAATTGGTCGTTTCCTAAATTAGCGATTAGTTTCTTAGAATTAATATTACATCACGGTGATAAATTCATGAAATATAACAAATTCTCGGCTTAACGTGCAATTGTTACTCTCCTGTCCCAAACATTTGGCTGAAAGTCAAAATCGAGATGTTCGTGCAAATAGATATTTCTTTGACAAGATAGAAATATGTATAAATTCGGACATTTGATTAATCGATCCCGTCGTAATAAATTTAATGCGGTTTCTTTCATTTTCAACGTATTATTTTTTTCTATATTTTTCGAAAATAATTTATTCGCAAGAAACGACCTCAGATGTTATGTGAAAAAGAAAAAAAAGAAAACGAAAATCGGAGGACGTATATATGATATATAGGAAATTAATCGAAAGATTTCAGCTACCGAAGCACGAAGTTGCGCATTAACCTAAACGAAGAAGACTAACAAGAAGCGAATCTTACACGCTGCAAGCTGCTAATCATGAGCGACGGAGACTAACATCACTTTCAGACAAGCTGATTTAACGTATCTACGGAGAGGTGAACACTAACAGTATCACTTGCACGAAATGCTACAAACGGTCTTTGTCGAAATTTTGCTTTCTATCCTTGTTTGGTAACTTTCAGACGCACTGGAAAGAACCATTTTTAAAGATTGACGAGCTCGAACGCTTTCATCAACCCCGTCATCGACATGTGTGTATCTATGTGAACAGCTTTTCTGCCTCCTTAATCATGTCACCTGCTTGTTTTTCTAACTCCTGTAACAGTCCTATTATTGGAAATTTGCCGGCTCCTTACTTTTTGGAGAGAAGGAGGGATTACATATGATTAATGCATTGAGGACAAGAGTAATAAGTTCACTTAATTTTTGGTATTTCTCATTGACTGTGATTAAAACGATTTATCCTTGTTTTAAAGAACTACATAACAATAGATGAATATGTGGAACATAAATTTTTGCATTAGGACTGGCCCGGTTAGAGGAAAGTATAAGTGAATTTAGATAAGAAAAACGATTTTCCACCAAGTGGTTATAATAAGAATATTTAATGATAAAGTTTTGATCATATTTTTTTCTATACTTTTTATTCTTATCTTAAATGTAAGATACAGGAATTCGCCGGATATGTTTATTAATATTTATGCTCTGTAAATGTGTTAACTACTTCAAAATTGGGATGTTGTAACTCTGATGATACATTGCAGATTAACTCAAGCAAGAGCAATATTTAATTAAGTGTATTTCGTTAAATTTTGAATTTAATTTGTTTTAATTTTTGCATTCAAGAGTATTACTGGTAGAACAAAGTACTTACGTATTCGTTACATCCACGGAGATTCTTTTTTAACGTTAAATTAAATATTAGCAAGGCTTATACGCAAAGCACTTTGAAGTTTAACAAACGCAAAGTTGAAACAGTTATTATTTTTTGTAGCTACTTGGATGTTTATTGAAATATGTTAGAATTAAAGAAAGATTTTGACATTTCAGATGAACAATCTAAAATAAATAACTGTAGAACGATATTGGTTGTAAGAAAAAAGCAAGATATAGGTACCAACAAAGTGTTATGTTAATTTTAATTATTACTGGCATCGTAGACTATTATATTTAGAAAATGTAATCCCTGAATGAGAAATTTTTTCTGAATAGCATTTACTTCATTTTCTATATCGTGAAATCGGATTACTTTCTTTCATATACCTAAGTGCCGAATGAATCACGGAATTCATTTTACAAACGAAACATTTACTTCTTAACGTCATTCATTTTTGAATATATTTTTAATTGAAAACTCTACGTATACTTCTAGTTGCACTATTTACTTTTTAGTAATTAGTAACATAGAATGAATGTAATTTTACTTGCTTCTGTACGACTTAAATATTTAACACAGTGTACATAAATTATTTTTAAGGTTTCTCGTTACCATTTGAATCGGTATAAAAATTTCAGAGAACGCAGGCGTTAACGTAACAAACTACCCCTATCTATCTTCTATTCTGTTTACGAATGCTGGTTGAAACGTTAGGTGGACAGAAATGAATAGAAAATGTTGTATGATTCTTTAAACGGTGGTCCTTACCAAATTCGTAACTTTTCACCTGTTAGTATCAACCCCCACTTATTGGCCAGTTACCAGAAAAGCTCTAAAATCGGTGACTAGAACGATCTACCATAGTGAAACGAACAGGTGACTTCAGGGTAGCATCAGTTGTTGGCGAGTATCCGTTTTGGCAATGTCGTTTCCTTCTTCTCCAAGTAACTAAGTGACTTCTGGTATAAAGTTCTGCGAGGGAACAGTACGCATTATACGGAAAATATCTCTCCCCTATTTACCGGTTGGTTGGCAGCGAAAGTTTGATATATCTACTAGGAACGTGTGTGTATGATTAATAGATCATGATTTCGTATTAGTGGTGCAATTTTCGTGATTTTATTGTGTCAACAATTCACCGTGTCGTAAACTTTCTATAATTTTGTGCAATGTCTATTAAACGTGTAGGGGTTGTATTTGTATAATTTTCTGTGGATACAGTGCACCTGTATACAAGTAGTCGTACACTAAACACGATATTATCTCAGAAAAACAATGTCTCATTGACTAAATGAGCTTATGTTTTGTGAAATTTACATTAAAAATATGTAGATCCACTGCATTCTTTTTTGTGTATCTGTTTTTTTTTTTTTTTTGTAAGGTGAAAATCTGTGAAGTTGAAATCTTTAAGAAGGTAAATTCTAACTGTCTGGTATTATGTCAAGTGTAATTAAGTATACCAGTATCATGTACATTAGGAACTTAGTAGTAAAATATGATCAAAGTTATATTAACATTGACACAATTTAATACCTTAAAAGTTACATTATGTAAAATGATAACAACAGTGCACCACAGTTAAACTCAATTTACATTTATAGTTTTTTATGGAATATCAATTAAATTTGCAACGTATAGTAACAACGTAATACGAAATCTTTCATAATTATTTTACTAATACAGCACTTCAAAGAAAATTCCAAAATAAAGACTAACAAGAAAGCATACCGAAGTCATAATCATCGATTTTGATGAAATTTTGATATGTGATAGATACCAAAAAAAATATTCTATATATTATTTTTATCAGCAATCGTCCACATTGAATGGGTGGAGATTCAGATTTATCCGTATTTTGCGTATGTAATTTATATACGCGAAAATCGATAAATATTTTACGAGAAAGATTAACAAAAATGGCAGAAATTTGAATATATTATTTAAACAAATGGACTCTTTTCAAATCTGTTTACGCAGCTACATTCGTTGTTCAGGGATACAAATTTGATCAATTTGCACCATTCCTCTATCTCTAATAATTTCCGAGATATTGGACTAAGTCGTTTACTACCCTTAACTTTAAGGGCGATTTTCACTCCATCGTAGTGGACGATTGCCAATAAAAAAAAAGAGCACGCGTTGAATATTTCTTCGTGATCTATCGCATACAAAAATTTCATCAAAATCGGTGATTATCACATCGAGGATGTCCCATTGTCAGTATCTTCTAACCTACCGAGTACTTGATGGTATTATTTAGATTTATATTGGCGTACGTCGTTTTATTAGCAACAAATTCATTTCTATTTCTAAAAAATGTATTTTTGCGTTCATGGTCTCACGTTGGTGTTCAATATTTAAATTGGTTCCAAAACCAAAGAACCTAAGAATACAGCAAGGCCAGGCCGAAATTGTGAGAATTCTTCAGCAATAATCGCGTAAATATAAACTTGGCCGGTACAACGTTGCGGTATAGCAGCGTGAATAATAATTCGTTTTATTGACGCAATAACCACTCTTTTCCACGCTTCTTTTTATCAAACACGAGGAACGAAACTCGATCCAGCGTTCCCAGCCAAATTTATCGTCACAAATACGAATACGATGAAAAGTATTGATGAGGGCTGGTATGAAATTTCCTAATTGCACATACTTGTCGCAACAAGTGTTTCTTGCAAAATAATCTATGCAGTTTATAAATCATTCCTCGTTAATCAGAATTTTGTTCAAACAATCCAATTTATGAAATTCTAAAGTTTAGTATGTTGATCAACATAGATGTTGCAAGAAGGAAAAGAAAGAAAATAATGGAAATGGGAGTGAAACTGGTATTACACTAATTTTCAAGTTAATAAATCATATTTCTAATAAAAACTATGATTTGCAATTTAGTTGATATTCTAAATGAAATGAAATATCTTTAATGTAACTGAGTGTGTGAATTTTCCTCAGTAATTAGATTGCTAGCTGCACAAAACAGAAGACGTTTGTTAATCCATTAAATCTCCTGAATAGTTCACAACAACAGTACTAAAGCATATGTTTAAAATATGATTATCTTATTATTAATTGATTTCATTAATTAAAATTTGCTAAATAAATTATTGTGTACCTATTCTTTTTATATTATCTATAATTATAGTATAAACTGTATTTCTACATACAACATAATTAATACATTAAACTAATTTGTTTCAATTATTTTCTTAAATTACTCTGGAGTAATTATAATGTGAATACCTTAATTAGTCAGGCACAAGCTTGTTAACGTTTTCATGATGAACTAGCATTTAAAAACGTTAGCTATTTAAATTCTTAAGGAGTATCAAGAAAATTTCTTTCATATTTCTATTGTATTTCTCCAAGAAATATAATAAAATTTGAGCGAATTGAAAAAAAGAAAAACGAACTACGAAAATAAACCAATGTTATGTTTGCACGTCATAGCTTAAAGCGCAGTATGACGCATCCATTTCGAATGAGTCATCTTGTATACATTGCAAACAAGCTTTTGTTAACTCCGCGCAGTTGTTTTCTCCGCTGAACGAAAATATATTTCTTTTAAATATAATTTAAGGTCGCATCAACATCTTAGTTATTTACAATATTTTACAATAAAGGCTTACTCTATGGATAATTTCAATTGCTTTCTTCAAATTTTCTTCGAATAGAAACATTGCTATTAATTTTTATCCTTTCTTCCCGAGGGGTCACATTTTATATACAATTTAAGGCGAAACAAAAATCTCGACGAGACTTGATATGTCCTTATATTTGCTTTATTCAATCAAATTGTATTATTTTTTCTTACAATTAACTTTTTGTATGCAAAGTGTGATTTAAAGTAAATTTTATCATTTTATGTCGTGTTAGAAAAGTCCAAAAAGCGAAGGCTTGAGTGGGCCATGTGCAGTCTTCTGCTGCGTTTCCCCCTCCTAGGGATAGTTCTGCCTCAAGGCTAAGAAAGGCCATATTGTCAAGGGGGTCCTCTTGACTAGGTTTTTCAGGAAAGATAGAATTGTATCAGCACTCGTACAGTATAGTTCGAAATACAAGGATTCACTCTGTTTAACCGCCCACGTTTATATCTTATTCCACCGCTCACCACCGTTATCCTGACTGATTTTTCTCTTACAGTCGCAACAATCGATCGTTTTAAATTGTTTATATTGTAATAATATAGTAATAATATATTTCAATTTGAAATGTACATATGTATACGTATTTTTTCTAAAAGAGAACTTTTTATTCTTCACTACAATTCTACCGATTTACAAGAATTCTAGATCGTTTTACTACGCTGCGCGAATCGTGCCAAGTAGTATCGACGACGAATTTTGGGATCTTCTTGAGATGATCCACGGATCGGTAGACGGAGTTCGAAGTTGAGAATAATGCATCGGCAATGTTGCAATTCGTTAGGGTCTTATATACATCCTCTAAATTTATCAACGCACTTAGTGGTCTGCATTTCTCTGCATATTTATCTCTAAGAAGCCATCAAATTATTCGTGAAATAATAATTACTGTTAAATATCGATATCCTTCTGCCACCTTGTTCACCTATAAAATATAACTCTGATAATTGATTTTCGAAGATCGCACAGATTACACAAATCTTGTTCGTGAAACATCACCTTAGAAGTCTAAATGTACACACTACTTTCTCCCGATTCAAATATAAATAAGGTACACGTTCATCTTGTTACAGTCTTTTTCTATGGCGTGCAACACAATTAACCATACACTTCGTTTTAATTGTAATTTTCAATCGATATCCTAATAATAATATTTTACACGAGTTGTTGAAATTATTTACAGGTCTGAAACGCGTAGCTTGGCCTCCACCTCCAGAGGACCAAGACTTCGTGGAACAAGGGCCTGTACAAGCAAAGGTAAATTTCGTGATCTGTAAGATCCTTGTTGAAAACTATACGTACGCTTAATTGAATTCAATTTAGAACGATTAGCGCTAGATAACACAATTTTAGCGATACGCTCCAGTTGACAGTTACATATATAGAATTTTGTACATATACTTTTAGAACGCGACATCTCAAACGACATTACGAACGTTCATATATACATATAGAACGAGTGATCCCTGCATTTTTTTTTTACCGTGTTACATGTGACTTTTGTCTTATTTTTTACGTGTGCATCTTTCACCCCTTTTAACGTCTCTCTTCCCTTTCTTAACGAATGTTCTGTCTCCTACGTGTTTGTTGTTATACCGTAATTAGTCAATATATTTCGTGCACGATATTCATATGTAGTATATTCGCAAATCATGTACATAATGATAATACGAGATGTAAATAATACATATTCGACGACGCGGTTGACTACACCACTGTGGCTGTCGAGGCGGATATACCGAGACAATTTCCTCGAAGAGACATTATTGCTCGAGTTTCGTGTCCTAAAAATATCGAAAGGACGATGAAAAATCGGCAGCCGAACCAAAATTTAACCGTTCGACACGGCGAATGCCTACAAAAGCCTCTGTTTTCCCTTCGAAAGACCCGTGGAATCAGTGGTCTCGCCTCGTACCAGAGCAGTCCTTCATCAGGTTCGTCACCTCAGCTCCCGTCGGTTGCTCGTTCGTCGACTCAGAGTGCAGTGCCGTCGTCGTCACCATCGCCGGTTAGCCCTGGCGGAACTCTACGGCAACCGTCACACTTTCAACATCAACCGGTACCAAAGGGCTGGCGACCGGTAACACCTCCATCAACTCCTCCAATCAGCAGCTTCGGTCCTACTCCAGCAATCAACACCTTCGATCGTCCTTCTCCAGACATCTGCACCTTCGGTCGTTCTTCTCCAGAGATCTCCACCCACGGTATACCTCCGCGTGAGCAGTTCGAGAGGGGTTGGTGCGGTGAACTGCCATTGGAGGCGTCTCTCCCTCAGGTAAGTGATTGAAACATAGGTGTCGACTTGTACAGCGATACATAGGGTGTCGCATTCTTCGATGGAAAGGTGATGATATTGGGTCAATGTGAGAGAAGATATCTACTATTGTACGAAATTTTATTTTCGTAGACAAACAAGCCTGAAAGAATTATGGAGTACTTATTAAAGTCTCTACTACGTTGTACAGTTGGTCGTTGGGTGAAATGATTAAAACTGTTTTCAGTAGAAATCAGAATTCGTTTCGAAGAAATGCGGTACCAATATTTCACTTGAGTCGCCGAAGACAGATCGTCTGCAGAAGGTTAAAGGTATTAGGTCATCTTGAAAGTTAACACGGTTTTAAGTCGTTCATTTTGGAAAAAAAAAACATAACTCCACTGGAATTAAGCATTTTTATTGAAAATAATGTTCGATACACTTTTGCCAATGTATTACAAGAGCATTAATTCTGCGTATATACATGAAAGTTCAAATCTGTAAAAGAGAGAACATGGCTTTGGAACATGATTGGTCCCCAAGTGCATTGATGTTAAAGAGGATTATATTCATCCTACTCCGAGAATTTTGCAAGTGACTCGTGTACTATTCTACTGTAAAAAAAAAAAGAAGTAAACAACCTTTCTGCGAGCTTTCGAATATTCAAAAGTTACTCTTTTTTTCGAAAATAAAACTTCGTACGTAAAAGCTTTGTTGCCCACTTCTAACTTACTATTTTCATTAAATTACCATCTGTCCGATTATACTTTCAGTTATGAGACACCCTGCATTTGTTACTTTGTAACGATCAAACTGTTTTCAGTTAAAGCTTTAATCTTGGAGGAAATTTTGACAAATCTTTGTTAATGTTTTTTAAGTTACGATTTCTAAACCATTTACGCTTGTACTTTGGAACATTTCATATCTTTCTGCGATGTTCTTAAAACTAAAAACATTGTTCTAAACGAGCCAATTTACTATTATTAGTGGTGGACATAAACAATAATATAAGCAATTATGTGGTGTGAAAACCATATGTGCACACTTTTTACAAATGAGTAACTTTTTAGAGAAGCGTACACATGAAAAACTGTCCTTTTCTTTTTAGCAAAATTACTTAATTTAACCCTCTCCAGGCTAATGATTCCATTTGTTATCATGTACCTACTATTTTTGCATTTATATGCTATATTTAAAATAAATATTTTTACAAGTGGCCACACTGTTACATTTGGTGAATTTAACTATTTTCAAATTAAGTTGGTAATCGAGTGTTTCTTCTTTTTCAAGGATTTCATTAAATTGCGCTGCTGGAAAGGGTCAATTGTAGAAATTAGAAGAAGGAAAATTTTAAATGCAAGATTAAAATTCGATAAGTTCAGAAAAGTTGTACATTTATTGTAATTTACGTTCCGATGAAATAGTTACAATTAGCATGAAATGATTGAATTCCATTTCAAGTCGCCACCTATGTACAATTGAAAAGTTCAACAGGTGGATCGCTCCGCAGGAAAAGCGCACGATAACAAGGAATTTATTGTGGCCCTTGTGTGTTTTATGTAATACCTCTCTCCTCTGTTCTGGAAACGAGCGTGTAGTCAACGGCTGTTAATTTCGAAGATGTGTCTTCTATGGATACGCAATGCGTTCAAACATCTGTTCTCTTTATACAATTTATAAGATTAATCTAATTGCATTGTTAATTACAGCAACAATCCCAAGATACCAATTTGACGCGACCATCACAAGCTTCTGTTGCCTTTGAAGCACCACGATCGACAGTTACACTTCGTCCGGAGCCACCAATCTCACAGGTTTAATTAATGAAAATATTACTAGCTTTTCATAATAGTGAGATAACTTAAGGGGGTACACCACCCTGAGGCGCCTAAAAATAGGTCAAGTTTGGGAATTTTTTTCATAGGTAACTATTAAATGAAAAGTTTCAATTTTTTCTGAGGATAAAAACCTAACTTTCAGCTTTTTTCTCCAATTTTTCTAAAGTAAATATGTTACATTTTCACTTATGAAAAAAATTCTCAAACTTTACCTATTTTTATACGCCTCAGGATGGCGTATCCTCTTAAAAGTATAAAATGACTCCATTTTTTCTTTTTTATTTCAACTTTGAAAAGCAACTACTTTTTCTATAAACCCAATATACAAACGTAAACGTTTTTCGAAGAATTATTTGAAAATATATTACATTTTGCAAAAGATATTTGTAATCGCATAATTTCGTAATGATATAATATAAAATGTTTATTTAAAAAATTATTTTCTAAGTCATTATTATTTTCGTACGATGTATGACATTAAAGAAAAAGATACTCAACTTAATTTTAAACAAATTGTTTTTGAAAAATTCTTACAATTTCAATATCTCTGTTATCAATTTTGAATAAATTTTTTACAAGTACCAATAGAACGTATAATATTGGAAACAACGTAAGCTAGCAGATGAAAAAGAAGAACGAGATAAAACTGAGTGTACCACCCACGCGTGTTACTTATGTATGTATATTAGATGCGTGGTTTATACTACATAATAATTTGCTGAACCATTCGTATGAAATAATGCAAAACGTCTGGCATGAGCTCAACCCTGAAATATGTGCTATTCTCATAATTTTCCCGAAATCGTTTACGAAGTTTACAGTATCAAATTTCTGCGTTATAATTATCACTTACGAGAAATATGATCTACTAAATCTATTCCGATAAATGTTTCGAATATTTTAAAGCTTTTATAAAATACATGAATTACGCATAAATATTCAATATTAATAATACACTTCATGAAAAACTATCAGTAATTCTAAGGGAAAACTAAAAGTAATTCAATATTGATTAAAAAATATACTACGAAGACCATTAACAGGTTAGAAAGTTAAGAAGTGTCATTTTGCAATGATTACATTAAAAATCTATAAAATATGTTGAATAAAAACATGTTTTCGTTAATTTATTATTGATATCATCATAACTTTGACAATATACTACTGCGTTAACATAAACAAGGATAATACATGTATACAGATTGTACAATATAGTAAAATTATTTTTATCTCTTTCTTTAACGTATGTATATACAAATTGCTTAAATTATTTAAATACTACAAACATCCAAATAATTAGAGACGATGTGTTAACTTTTTTTAAATACACAGAAACTTTAGTAAAATGTTATTAGGCTAAAGTATAAATTCAGAAGTACATAAATTCAGTTAGCATATAAACTTATGAATAAGCTTATTCACATGAATAAGAGGTTTAAGACCAAGTAAAAACTATCACACTGTTTCTTTTCAAAGTATGAAACTACTTTGCCTCTTGTAATAATTTAAATATTTTGTGGTATAGAAAAGCTTTTCATAGATTAAAATGTAGAATTTCTTATTCGTATTTCCAGTAATTCCTTAAAATATGATGTGTAACGACGTTAAAGAAATTCTTGCGCGTATAGTAATAATTGGTATGAAATACTAGGGAATTTTAATGATATATACTTGGTGGAATACCTATAGTAAAGTCGCAAATCACGACGTTAAGTGAAAACATCGATTGATTGAGTCGTACGCAGGGCCGTACGCGTCTTATAAAAGCTCCCCAAATCTCAAGTCACAAGCGTCGAGCGCAAGACGTGAACCCTCGGATAGCCGACGCTTCTAGCGGTTGAGCAGCAATCGTGATTAGATCAGTATAGATCCACATCTACCTTTTTTCTGTTTTTATCACTTTCTTAAACATACTGTAATGAAAGAACCGGTGCCGAGTTGACTTCGTACGATCCTGAACTAGGCTAGAACTCCTTATCTCACCCAAGTTGATGTTTCGAAGATCAGATTTCATATTTTTTCACGCCTGTCTAATTTTACGACCTCACTGTAGCTCTTCCACTGAGTATGAGCTAAATTTTGAAGTTTATAAGAGTATTAAATATTTTTTAGGCACGAGCACCAGTTTATCAAGCACAACCTGCCGCGACAAAGGCTCCAGTAAGCGGAAATATGAGAGGAGATCTGAAGTGGCCACCACCATCGGTGAAAGCTCAAACGGAAGCTGAAAACAGGGCCAGAATGGAATTGGCGAAAGGTCCTGCCGTTAGGCCTCGTAGAGTACGCAAGGACTACAGCGGATTTTTCGCTCAACATGCTTTAAATAATACGTACCCGGGATATCGAGCTCCACCAGGAACTCAGTATTTCACCCCCGCCTATCAACAATAGCAAATCCTATTCTAAAATTATTTACTTTCTTTATAACATCGTCCTGAGTTTGATTTTCACGACATTCGCAAGAAATGTAATATTTCATGCAAATTATTCTAATGAATTTAATTAACGTATTTCACTTAAAATTTCTTTTTCTATGCAGGACTTGGAGCTGTACGCGTGTAATAGAATACGTGTTTCGTTTTTTCAGTTCTTAGCCTGAATTGGTACTTTTCGCGAGATACATAAGAGAAGTTTTCGAGGTTCTTGAAACATTTTCTGTCCGAATTTCGAATTTCAACATAGCTTGTATATACTGAGACTGATCGAACAATTGCTTTTTATCGCCGCGATTCTCATTTGTGCGTAAAAAGTTGAACAGTAGTATAGCTTTAAAAACGTTTACTGTGGTTCTTTTTCATTTTTATTTAGCGCTAAATATTGATAAATAAATAAAAACTAATGCTTTTGACAGAAAAACCATTATCTTGTGGAAAAATGATTAAAATTAAATGAACTGTGTTCCGGTGGAGTATTGAAACATTGAAGTGAAGAATTGCAATTAACGCAAAGATTCCCTAACGAATAACGAAAATCGATCATCGAATAAAAATCGAACAAAATACCAAACATTTTTACGAATAAATTTTTATTTCTGAAAAAGTTTGAAAAAAAAAAAAAATGAACTATGTGTCCATTAAATAACTAACGAAACTTTTTAATAATGTAATATATTGATGTGTATAAATAAAAGATATTTGCAAATCGAATATGGTTCTTCTTTTAAAAAAATTTATTTTAGTATAGAATTTAAATATAACAGTTTGCTTTATGAATAATCACTTAAATGGATTCATATATTAATAGTATATAGATTATTTTATACGACTTACGGATCAATATTCAAGTTTAGAATAAATCACATTTTCACACATTATCTTATTTTTAGAAAGCAAAAGAATAAGTTATTTAAATAAATGCTAACTTTCAACCAGTAGCACTTTTTTTAACAATTTAAATAAGCTTTTAACCCTCGTACAGCGGATGGCGTGATAGTCACACACATAGAAGCCGGGTCAAGTATGACCCAAACTAAAATCTTGTTCGTACGCAAGAGAAGCCACATCTTTTTATTTTACTAGGCATTATATTGTTTAAAATGATAAAAATATATTATGATTAAACTGACAAACATATTTATAAAACAAGGAGAGTTGTGACATCTAAAAGCTGGGTCAGCGGTGACCCGACATCCGCCATCCGAAGGTTAATATACATATTTAGCGTGCTCTGCATGTTCTTTGGAGTTCTTTGTTAAAGAATTAATGTATGAAAGAAATTTAAACATATCTTTAGTTATTAAAACATTACTCTATTAATCAATATCACTTTCGGTTACAATTTATTTACTAACAAGTTTTCCTGAGTTTATCTAATTTTTTAAATTCGAACATTCTTTATCAACTCTGTAGAAATTTTAAAAACTAATTTATTTAAAGCAAATTACTAATATATCTATAAAATTTTAATTTAGAAAACTGTTTAAATCGTATTTTTGTAAATAATATTTTAGCAAAATAACGTGCATAATACAATGTTTACATGTGTTGTACTCTAAACCAATGTTGATATTTTGAATATGTCAATTCCTGCACATAATGAAAAGTGTTGAATATCAATCCACGAATTTCATATATACACTTTCAATATTCGACTAGATAATAGTAATTAAATAAACTGTAGAAAAATATACTAATCATAATACAAACTTTTTGTATTGTATTTAACATTCGATTATAAAGCCTCTAAAAAATACAGATCGATTTGATTTTAATTTATTAATATAATCTAATTTAATTTAGATAAAAAACTAATAGAGTATTATGCACGTGATGTAACATTAAAGTAGTCAAATTATACTAATGAAAAACCATGAGTTTGCTGAATAGCTTGTAGTAACTTATATCGTAACCTTTCTCGTGTTTGATATCGTGGGAGATCAAGTAAATTAAAGCAGGTGTGAGCAACAGGCAGCATACGTTCATCCATCACTGGTTGTATTGTAATCTGAAATTGGACAATATTAAAACGTTATAAAACAGTATCCAATATATGGAACTTAAATAGCTTACCTTCATTGCTTTCATGCCTTCTATAGGTATTCTGTCACTACCAGTCAAAAACAGTAGAAATTTTTTCTTTTCTTCTAATGTAAGTTCACGAAAGACTTGCCAAAATAGTATAATAGTAGGGTCATTTTTTGTATATCCTTCTTTATATGTTGCATTTTTTTGTAATTCTTCCCAATCATAATCTTCATTTCCTACCACTACTGCCATAAGTTCGTAACTATGAAATAATTCTAACACTCGACCACCGCAAACTTTGTGAAAGCCTTTATAAAATGCTTGAAAGTGAAGTTCTACTGATTTATTTAACGTATAGTCTACGTATAAATCGACAAACTGTCTCCTATAAACAATTTTGTTAAAATGCAAAATTTTAAATAAAAATGTTTAAATGCAACACAAAGAGATATATACATACTTATTATTTAATGTAACAGGAACATTACTCCCACCTGGTATAAGTTCGTATATTTTTTTTTCACCAAATACATCTCTAACCAATTCAAAGTTTAAAGCAAAAACCTCTTCAAAATCTGTTTCTTCATAGTCAAGTATATTTTGCATACTCCTAAACATCACACATTATTGCACTTATATTTTTAATGTTTTGGAATTTAAATTTTAAAATATAATTGTAAGCATAATTCTTTGTGGTAAAAAGAAGTATAAAAATAAATAGTAATATAACATACTTAGCAAGTACTGGTGACATTTCTTTGATGTCAATTAATCCAACTGGTTCATGTAATAATTTTTTATACAGAGCTAATGGGAATGGTAAGTCTATAATAATAAAATTATAAATAACAAGTCCACAAAGAATTCCAATCAGAAAATACATGTTTTCATCCTCAAATGAATCTTCACTGAACCAAATAATTCTAGTTTCTTCATACTGTTTAAACATGCCATATTTGGGATCAAGAATTTCTTTCAATAACAACATGAAAAATTCCTTCTTAACTCCCCCTGCATCTTCTGCTTCTTCACCGTGAAATTTTACCTTTATAAAATAATTACATTAATTATATTTTACAAGAAAAATATTTGAAGTGCCACTGTAATACTCACTCGAAGAGGTTTCTTCAAATCGCTAGAAGTATATTGTGACAACGCCAGCAGAGTATCTGGAACTATATTTTCCCGCGATACATTTAATATTACAAATTGATTATGATCTCGTGAAAGTGCAGAAGATGGATCAAAGAATATTTGATTTATTACAGCTCGAGTTGCCGCCTCATTCATTGCTGATTGCATCTGACATAAATAAACAAGTGTAGTATAAAAAATAAAAAACCATTTCTAATACAAGTATATTCCTTACCTGAATAGCTTGATCTGTTTCAAGCAATCTAATTTTAGCTTGAGCATCAAGGAGGAAAGGATAATGACAAAACACTTTCTGGTACTAAAACAAAATTTCAATCATATAAGTAAACTTAGTATATTTACAATGCTATAATTTGATAAATTAAGAACATATTAGAAACGTAACATACAGAAACAGATTCTTTTTCAGAAATCCATTTTATGTAATCATCTGTTATATCTATAAATTCTACTAATTCTGGCAAATGAAAAGTAGAATAAGGTACTATATTGCCTTCATCACCTTCATTGTTCAATTTATTTAGTAAGCGTAAAAAATCCAAAACAACTTGCAGAGTCACATCCCACAATACACCCTACAAAAATATTCAAAATATATAACATTATTAACATAATTTATTCTTTATTAATAAAATAATTCGTGTTATTACCTTATTTGGTTTGGACTGTTTAACATAATGTAGAACAACTGACTTATGAATTCTAACTAATCTCTCAAAATAATGAGGTGGTGCCTTAAGCCACCAGTTTGTTACAATTTCAAGAACCTCTGGTTTTAATCCTAAAACAGCTTTGCAGAATGGCTTATGCAATAAATTACAATTAAGAGGATTTGCGAAACCATGATACAAAGGTAATATTAAATAGATTCTTAAGGATTCCCAACAAATTACTTTAGATGGTAAATTAACAAAGGAGGGAATCAAGCTGTCCGATATGCAAGTAAATATCTGAAAAATAATACATTTGGCGTAATTTTATGTTTAATGATATTTAAACTTCGAAAAATGAATTTTTCTCATATACCAGTTCTTGAATTGTGCTGTTATCCAATTCTCTAATAATTCCAAATAATCTACTTGCTTGGTCAAGATCCACCCCATGATGCTTACTTGAACATCCATAGTGCGCATCATTGTTAAATAAGAATGATCCGGTCACACAAGCCTGATTTCTAAATACCGTCTCTAAATACCTATAAAAAGATTAATTACAAAACTGTATAAATTTTTCTACTAATTATATATAAAAAAGTATAAATTGCTAAAATATATCGTTGTTAATTTGAAAAAAAGCTTAGATAATTACATTATATATTATTATGCAGGATGTACTCTAATATATGTGAGACCCACTTCATAGATAGATCCACTACTTGAAAATAATCAAAAAGATTCATATAAACATTTGTTCTACTTAAACTTGTTTCTTTTTTATGCTGTAATAATCCTTCCAACAAAAGAAGTTAATAGTATTGTTTTCGTTGAACTACTTATAAATAATGGTCAATATCTTACACACGAATCTTTCCTCTATTCTGTAAATACTGTCATAACTTTTCATAAATCTTAGTCCATTCTTTCAATAAGAATATTACGCGTCTGCAAGACAATTTATGAACGAGAAATTTCGAAGTAAATAGATTAAGTTACATTAACATTAGGATTAGATTAGCATGGATTGAACTTAATAAATCAGATTTAAATATATAGGAGTTTTACATCTAGGGACATTTAAAAAAAATTTTTTTTTTACAAAAGGCTTATTGAAAATGTTGAAGCACTTCGTTATAAAATCAAGTAATGTTTAGCAAATTCAAGAAAAAACAGAATCGTAGGAAATGTATCAAGATTAGCGACAAAACATCTACAGGCATTTGTTAAAGTGCAAGGTAATCGATTTGAGCATTTTTTATGAAAGTAATAAAATACCAGTTGACAGAACATAGAAATAACTGCATCTCATAAATAAGGTCTAATAGGACATATATTTATAAAAAATTTTTTTTATTATTTTCAAGTGCTAAATCCATTCCTGATATGGGTACCATATGTTATGGAACACCTTGTATAGACAATATAAAATTTGTTATACTGCACATGTCTAGGTACTAACTTTTCTACTCACGTCATAAGTTCATGATCAACAGGTGAACTTGGTGGAACTCGTTGACATGCTATTAATTGTTCTTCTGTTATTGTAAGGATTTGAGAAGATCTATGTAATTTTCTACAATTATCTGGTACTATATTTTCCTGAAAACAATTAAATATTTTTATTAATATAAATATTTTTATAAATATTAAATATTTATATAAATACATATGTATATAATAGT